TACGCCATTAAAAACACGCATTTTGGAGCCATAAACCTACATTTCGATGAATTAATATCATATGCACAAAATCAGCACGACTGTAATCTGATCATAGGCTATAGTTTCAAGTGTGAAAGAAGAATTTATATGCAGATAAGGTAATTTACACAAAAAGAAATATACGAACAGTACTGAGAGTTGCCACTTCCAGTACTGATTTAGTTTTTTGGTAAAACATAGATTGCTGAGGGGCAGGTCCAGGAAACAGAAGTGGAAACCATCGGTGTCTCTGAAATAAACGATACACACCACTTCCTAAGCAACGAATCAGTGGTCTACATTATACCAGAAAAGTGGATGACCTCATCTCTAATCTTCCAATGAAATCAATCCTAGAACACATAAATCAACATTTTTTGTATAAATCAATGTTTTATAGAAATAAGATCAGTTGACCCATAAAATGTGAATCAGTCTATCCACCTCATCGCCTACATATCGGTCAGTCAGCGTCACATCCCTTTCTTTTTTCACTTAACATTTTATGTTTATATAAGCTCTTTGCTTTTGTTATTGTTTGTGTATCGTTTATATATTGTTATAGTATGCATGAAGTTTGTTCCGATCAATAACACCTTGTCAAAGACAATAAAAATATCATTTTACATATTTCAATGTGCTGTTTTCTCTACCATCAATATCTCATCCATCCTTCCTCTAACATCTATTTCTTCAGTTGTGTCACTTTCAAGAGCATTCGAAGTCTTATGGGTTTGGAATGACATGAGGGCGGGTAAATGGTGACAGAAGTTTCATTTTTGGGTGAAGTATCCCTTTAAGCTGCAGAGAATCACCACTTGAGTAACTTGAAATAGCTGAGAATCTTAACACGCATTTTATTTTTCTATTGAATTTACTACCATTTTCCAATTGCTAGAAACAATAACAAAATATATAGATGATCTGAAGAGAATATCTTTGTCATTATTCACACTAAAAGGCTTCGGGTCTCAGGAAAAACTGTCAGTCTGACGCTTGATGCCTTTTTGTCATATGACTGAGATCTAAGGATGTCCTAAAATGTAGTCGTGGCCAAAATGACATGACAGTGACATAAATTTTGTGTTTTGCAAAATTTGCTACTTAAGCTGTTGTGGTGTTCATTCACATTGTTTCTACAAGTATTGGCGGTGGCATAATCTAGAAACAATGTGAATGAACACCACAAGAACTTAAAGAGGACCACTGTTGCAGGACAATTTATTGTTGCAAATGTTGACGACTCAATTAAATTATAAATGTAGACCTTTTCTATAAATATTCCTCTGGAATATTTTCCAGTATTGAATGTTAAAATAAAAATAATTTAAAATTATCAACATTTATTTAGCCACGCTATCAAGATTAATTTGAAGGGGGGAAAAGTGGAATAATTTATATTGTGTGTTTTGTGTGTGTGTGTGTGTGTGCATGTATTCATGTTTTGAGTATATCAAACAAGTAGCCCTATTTTTATTCCCTCAGAGACCTTCCTCCTGGCCGATGGACGATACCCCAGTTTGGAGATGCCTATTGCCCTGGGACACCCTACAAATTAGGGCTGTCAAAAAGAAATTCGAATTTCGAATATTCGTCGAATTTAAAATACAAATCCACATTCGAATGCAAAAATGTTGCAGCCTTGTCAGCGGCGCACGAGATACAATGACGATGTAGGTGTCACTGCATTATAATGTATGTTAGCTTATCCAGTTGAAGCCACTAGATGCGGCGCTGCTGCGTTGTTCATTCAAAATATTGCAGAAAAAGAGAACATCAATGCGGAGAAGATCTTGTTTACGTCAAAACTGAAACCAAGCCGTTCACACAGAACGCATATTTATCTCATTTTCTAGAGGGACATCTATCACCTTTGCACTCGCGTCTCGCACAAAAGAGCCGCTTGTTTAGAAAGCCATGTAAGTTAATGCAAGTTCAACTTTGAAAAAAACATATCTCGAGACTTTATGGCAGGGTTTTTTCCCCATCCCACTGCATCTCATGTTTTTAAATGAAAAATGTACTCAGTGTTATTGGATTTCCGCCCTTTGTATTAAACTATGCATACAGTACATACATGACGCTGTTGTTTATGGTTGTTTAAGCAACTTAATTATAATTGGTTTATAAACATTATGCACTTTTTTTTGACAGATATGCATTGAATAAACGTGTAAGGAATAATTGGCGACGGGCCGTTGAATTACTAGAAAAATAATGCACACCCGAGGTGGCGATGCTCGGACCCGCTACACCTCGGGTGTGCATTATTTATTTAATAATTTGTAATTATTTTTAATATTCCGCATATACTACGGTTACCACACCTCAAGACATCGATCAGATGATATATTTAAAGGGATTCGTCCGGTCTTTGTACTTAAATAGCTATTGTGAGTATCTTCCGCATCTCATCCAACGCCTCTTTTGCTAGTTCCAAAACGTCATTTTAAAGCTGGTAATGGAGGCTTGAGCCGTTGATGGCATTCTAATGCAGTTATTAATGAAGTTATTAGAAAGAGAGCGAGAGAGATAGAGACACACAGAGAAAGAGAGAGAGCTTGTGTGAATTAGGCTAGCTCTGTGCATCCCTCAACAGTGTTCTGCAGCAGCGTCTCTAAACAGCGCTGTTATTACCTCGCTAGTGAGAAATGTCATGTGTAGCCTTTAAGTTGCTACACTATATCTGAAGGCTAACTGATAAAATCGTCAGGGCACCGTAGTGCGTGACCGTAGTGTGCGTGTGCGAGCACGTGTGATTGCAGTAATTCCTGTGTGCTGTATAGGTACTGTATGCTAATTTCCGTGATTACAGATAACTGTGTGAAGTGATATGGAATTGTAATGCAAGTCAAGAGAGCTGCCTGGAACTACGTTCGCCGTGCGTTTCCCTGAAAATAATTGCACACCTCAGAACGTTCCTCAGCCAATCAGATTCAAGCATTCAACGGCCCCGTAGTATAAGCGTTAGTAATAGTTTGCTCGATGCGCCCTCTTGTGGCCTCAGGAGAGAAGCCAAAAGCTTTTCTTCACCCTAACTGAAATGATGCATTTTAAATTCGAATGTTGATCATATTTAAGTACAAAATTCGAATTTAGTTTTTCAGCAGCCCTACTACAAATAGCCTGTAAGACGAGCGACACAACAGAGGTTTGGAAAAATATTTAAAGTAAATAATGAGTATGATGAGGTGTTTCTTATATTTAAATAGCATAAAAAGAATCAGCTTTGTGGCTTTACAGATTGAATGGCCATTATGCCAAAGCCTGCTGTGTCACTGAAGGCCACTGGAAGTAGACACTTCATCTGTCCCTGATGTGGTTGTGGCCTGCACCATGCTACATAACATTTGTAGTTGTAACAGTGGAAGATGATCAGCCTGAGGAAGAAGAAATGGCTGGGAAGACTGTAAACGTAAGTGCTCTGCGTGTCCTGCAGGGATCATGATCACATTTATTATTGTAATTAAAAAACACATTGGTCCTCCAGGGACAGGATTGGACATGCCTGACTTAATCAGTTACAGAACGTGATCACGAGAGCTCTTGTGTGAACTGTGCTGATCATCCATCGGTGGTCATCACAGACCCTTCATAAGAAGGGAGCTTTCATGTCAGATAAGAAATGCTTTCATGGAATTGGCTAATTTAGATATTAATTACCCACCTGGATTACTCTCAGAATTTGCTTTTTGTTTGTACATTATTTCTTTAGTGTGTAACACCGCACAACCTCAAGAGGACTTCGGTGCATAGGTACATATGAACTATTTCTGGGAGGCACATTCAATGG